GATGTTTCTTTCTCCCCCTCTCCTTTCCTCTCTGAAATCAATAAAAATATATTTAAAAAAACACTAGTATATTAAAGAATCGGTTCAGCTTGAGAAGAGACTTCAGAGGGCGTGCAGAACTGTAAGGCCCGTGGGCGGAAGGAGAGGGAGCCCTTCCTGGGGAGAAACCGGACATTATTAGGGTTCACCCCGGCCGCACCCCGGGAAGGTGCTGAGCTGAAGGTCGCTCAGGGGTGACTCACTGGGAGCCGTGACCTCAACGGGGAATTCCAGTTGGAGGGAGAGCTGCCCTCCAACGGGGGGTCCTGGGGGCCCCCACAGGAGAAAAGGGGGGCTGGGGGGAGCTGGGGACCGGGGAGCCAGGACCCCTGCGATTCTGTCACCACGGAATCCAGGCAGCTTTTTAAAAAATATGTTTTTCTTATTGATTTCAGAGAGAGAGGGAATCATGGGACGGCTGCCTCCCGCGCGCCCCCTCCTGGGGATGGAGCCCTCGACCCCGGGCCTGCACCCTGACCTCCGGGGTCAAAGGTCGGCGCTCACCACTGAGCCCTTTTTATTTCTAATGGATGTAGAGAACTCAGGGGACCTGCGAACCCTGCACCCGCGCCGCTCCTTCCTGCGGGTGCACAGGAGGCAATTTTAGGGGAGCAGGGGGGCAGCGCCAGCCGGTCCACAGCGGGCCTTCGGCAGTGCGGTGTGGGAGACCAGCTCACGGCTTTGTCTGGTTTTTATGTGGTTAATCCTCACCTGAGGACATATATATATTTTTAAAAAACTTTTTTTTGAGAGTGGGAGGGAGGGAGGTGGGAGAGAGACTCATGGGTGGGCTGTCTCCCTCGCGCATGCGCGCCCTGCGCTAACCACTGCGCGGCCGGCCGGCCGGGCTCGGCTCCCGTGTGCGTGTCTGAGTGTGTGTGTGAGTGTGAATGAGTGTGTGCGTGTGTGTGTGTGTGTGTGTGTTCGCACAGGACTTGCCTTCCCTTCGGCGTCTCTTCTCTAGGGCGCGCCCTCACATAAGCTCACGGCCCCTCCGCTGTTCACTTCGGTCCCGGCCCTGCTGTCTGTCCCCAAGGACGGGCTCCCGCGTCCCTCCGGCGCGTCGTGGAAAAGGGGCGCCGTCCTCCAGGGGGGGCTGTGAGGCGCCC